GCTTTGCTAAGCTTGTTCTAAGTAGGTGCTGGAGACCACTGAGCCATCTCACCAGCCCTGTTGCTCAGATTAAGAGATATAGTTATACAAGATGGGACAAATAATTGAATATTACTACTTCCTTTCAAGAAACCTCAATTTTTCTTGTCTTTTTTTTTAACTTTTTTCTTTTTTTTTTTGGTGGAACTGGGGATTGAACTCAGACCCTTGCGCTTGCCAGGGAAGCGCTTATTCCACTGAGCCATCTCCCCGGCCCTTTTTTTTTGACTTTTTTAAAAAACATTTTTGGAGCCAGTGAGGTAGCTCAGCTATCTAAAGCATCTGCTTATGCAAGCTTAGACAAGCACAGAGACTGCGGTTCGATCCCTGGCACACCAGCCACGTCCCCAGGGCAGGCTGAACTGGCTCCCCCCAGAATAATAATTTTAACAAAATAGTATAATAATAATTGGTAAGACATCAGAAATGGTACACATAGGGGCCAGGGAGATGGCTCAATGGAATAAGTGCTTGCCTGGCAAGCGCAAGGGTCTGAGTTCAATCCCCGGTTCCACAGAAAAAAAAAGCGGGGGCCGGGGAGATAGCTCAGTAGGATAAGCGCTTGCCTGGCAAGTGCAAGGGCCTGAGTTCAATACCCGGTTCTGCAAAAAAAAGAAAAAAAAAAAAAAAGAAATGGTACACATTTAGAAGACCAAGATGAGAGGTATTTAAGCATGCACAGGGACAGGGGTTCAATCCCCGGTGTGCTATGCTGGCCTCGCCCCCACAGACGCGCTGAGATGGCAAATGAGACTGGGTGTGGTGGCACGCCTGTAATCCCAGCGCTTGGGAGGCTGAAAACAGGAGGATCACTACAAGTCCAATCTGTGTAGTGAGACCTATAGACCCTGTCCTAAATACATTAAAGTCCTCTCAGTCATCCTGCATGTTTTTTCCCCCTTCCTTTTTTCCTATATTTTCTCATCTTCGTTGTTTTATTCTTCAGTTTAGTTTCTTGGTTTTACTATATCTGTTACACTTTTCAGGTTTCATTCTTTCCGGTTCTTGCTCTAGGGAAGCAATACAGTATTTACACATGTGGGTCTGATTCATTTCACTTACAAGTATATTCTCTAGTTGCATTCAGCATTCACTCACCTATAAAGGCTTTGGGTTTGTCTTTCTTTATAGCTGTATAAAATTACCAAATCTTTTTTATCCATTCCTCAAGTATGGCATTTTGGTTATTTCCAAGATTTGGCTGTGACAAATTGTGGTGCTATAAACATAAGTGCACATATATTACTATGCTATGATGTTTTCAGTGTTTTTTTTTTTTAAATACCCAAAAGGGGAATAGCTGGTTTGAGTGGGATTTCATCATAGTTTTTTGATGAGTTCTCCACACTGATTTCCATAGTGGTTGTACTAGTCTACATTCCCCCAGCAGTGGAGAAGGGTTCTTTTTTCTCTGCAGCCTCTCCAGCATTTGTTATTCATTGATTTCTTTATGATAGTCATTCTTTCTGGGGTGAGATGGTATTTCAGTGTTGTTTCAATTTGCATTTTTTGAATGGCCTGTAGCTAAGGAACATTTTTTTCATGTATTTATTTGCTACTTATATTTTTTTCTTCTAAGAAGTGTGTATTCATCTCAAATGCCCATTTTTTTTTTTTTTTTTTTCCGGAACTGGGGATTGAACTCAGATCCTTGAGTTTGCCAGTCAAGCGCTTATCCTACTGAGCCATCTCCCCAGGCCCCAAATGCCCATTTTTGGATTGAG